TATTTTTTATTTATATATAAAAAGAGTTCTTAAATTCTTGTAAAGCCACTAGCATACATAGCGTTTCGGGTAGATCCTTAGTCCTAATTCTTTCCCCTGAGTACGACCCGCCAAATAGGCCAAACAATCTATTCTCTGCTGGGTGAGCAGTTAAGGATTGTTGCCCGGGCAATCCTTCCCGGCCAGCAGGTCAAAGCGCTGGCGAAAAGCCGGGCGCGCGCTTTAGATCCCGACCAGTTGTGTACCCACAGGCCTAGCAAACAAACACCCCCCTAACCAGACAAACACCCCTCTTACTCTACCAAGCACACCCAGAGCCCTACCAAAGTTGGGAGGGTCCATAGACGAGAACGTGGTTATAAGTATAGGTCTACAGGCATGGGGCCCCAGTGCCCATCATCTGGGATCGGGGGAAACAGTGCATTGCTTTGCTCAGAGAGTATAATGCTGCTAACACAACCCTGCCTTTAATGAACAAACTTTTCGGGATTAATTAATTCGCTAAGATTTACCTGAATTTACCAGAGGGTCACTATCAGTGAGGATAGGAAGCCGGCGGCTTGTCAAATGTCCCCTATTTGCCCTGGTGATTTTATCGAGCAATGTTTTATCATTTATGACTTCGTCGGAAAGGTGGTTCCATGGTTTCAATGAATTTACTAGATGGTGGCCCTCGGGTAAATTCAGGTATCTCTCTCCAGCGGTCTCGACGAGGACAAGAAGATTGTCTGGCTTGTCGAAGGCCCCTCTAATTTATTTTGGGGATTTTATCAAGCAATGTTTCGGCATTTACGGCTTCGGCGGGTATGCGTTTCCACAACTTTATAATTCTTTGGGTGAAAACAAATATTTTCCATCCTTCAGTGTGGCTTGTTGAGCTCCAAACCGTTGCTCCTTGTGCGTCTTACATCTAGCCTTTTGAAGAAGTGTTCTGGGTCAATATCTTCCAAATTATTTAGTAATTTAAAAGTTTTGCTGAGAGCAGCCCTGTCATGTCTGGTCCCTGTGGCCCTCAACCGTTCCTGGTATGAAAGTCGACTTAGTTCGGAAAATATTTTAGTCGGGGCCAGATTCACGAAGGTTTTCCTTCTTAGCTACGAATGTTTTCCTTCTTAGAGCCTTCGTGGCGACTACGTCGGCGGTGTTGAACTTTCTCCAAAGCAGATATGTCTTTCTGAAGATGAGGTCGCAATGCGTGGATATAATAATCCAAGTGGAAGCACACCAGAGATTTATACACTTGTATAACTACATTTTCCTTCGTCAACATTTTGTTTGACTATTCTTAGGATTTGGTTTGCTTTTATAACTGCAGCTTCCACTTGTTGTGATCCTCCAATCAGTGATTGGTGGATTCTGACTCCTAGATTTGGAGTCTTGTTGATGTTGATCACCAAATGTTGATGATTTGGTAGTTGTGCATTGTTATGCCCCACATGGGTGAAAAAAACATCTGTTTTCTGTCCTAAGTTGTGGCTTCTGGAACCTGAAATCGTTGTTTCTTGTTTGTGATTGATGAAGATTAAGCCACCAATGAGGTGGCACGGGCATGAATAGCTCATAACCTAGTTCGTGTTGTTGTTTTAGATTCAGCTACACTGAACAAAAAGTTCCAAGCAGCACGAGCTATTGTGAGCCCGTAGTGGATTTGGCACAGGAGCGGGGCTGTAACTGCTTGAGTGATTGATGATTGATGAAGATTAAGCCACCCAAAAGGTGGCACGGGCATGAATAGCCCGTAAGTGGTGGCCCTTTTCAGCCATTACCAGTATCAAGAGCTGATACTGGAGATCTGTGGAGGTGCGATTGCACCCTGCGTGACGGGAGATGTCTCCCTGTAACTGCTTATTTGTGATTGAGTGATGAAGATTAAGCCACCCAAGAGGTGGTACGGGCATGAATAGCTCGTAAGTGGAACATTTTTTTTTGGAGTGAATGTGATCTTTGGTCGTAAAAGGATATACTGCGTGCTGTGCTCGCATTTAAATCGTCAGTCTGTGGCTGCTTTCGCGGGGTTTGAGGTATCATTGTTTGTGTTGCATCTAACCATAAATAATCATCAGTGAGTTTCCTAACATTAATAGCCCAAATTAGCCCATCTTGCTTTTAAATTAGCCCAAAAAAGTAGCAAGTAGCGAAATTAAAAATTTGGGAGCGTGAGGCTCTCAAAAGTAGCCCAATTAGCTACTTGTAGCCCAATCTGGCAACCCTGCTGACTAACTCCTGAGTATCTACTTGCTGCTAGGTGAACAGGGGCGTTAGGTGAAAGGAAATGTGCCCAACCATTTCCCGGGATTCAAACCCGGAATTCTTGATTGTGTGTCGAGAACGAATCCGACTACTACTGGGAGTCTATGCGTATTGTAAGAAGACTACCGGTACTCATATGTAAGATTTGCCCGAAACGCTTTGCGTAATAGTGGCTTTAGGCATTGTATGTACTAGCTCTATCTATATATCAATCCATTAATGTAACATCACTTGTATGTATATACCTTACATGAATAAACATCTGAATCTGAATCTGAATTTTGAGGCAAGGTAATGATGATAGTTACAAGATACGAGCTAGATGGTGTTGAGATTGCGAAAGGATTATGATTAGAATTTAAACAAAAAACATCAATGCATAAATATTCGAAATAAGACAAATAGGACACTGGAATTTATTTCTTGAAACTTTAGTAATAAAATATGCCTTCTAGTTCGTTTTTTTTATAAATAAGACTATGGGTTCATTATTAGTTTTGGGGATGTCTAACGAAGCTGCAAGCTAAGACACCGTTATCCTACTCTGGCTCATCTGTAGGTTAACCTACAGATGAGCCTGTGAGGGAGCCGGTGGGCCGAGCGGATAGCACACTGGGCTTGTGATCCTGGGTTCGATCCCAGGTACCGGCGAGAAACAATGGGCAGAGTTTCTTTCACCCTATGCCCCTGTTACCTAGCAGTAAAATAGATACCTGGGTGTTAGTCAGCTGTCACGGGCTGCTTCCTGGGGGTGGAAGCCTGGTCGAGGACTAGGCCGCGGGGACACTAAAGCCCCGAAATCATCTCAAGATAACCCTAAATACTCATTTATTGTTAGATTTCATTAGGAATCAACTTCGTTGAAGGCGGAGCTTCCAGCAAATACCTTCCTGTGATTGGCTGTTGCAGGTAATGCCAACTCTTTTTATGAATAAAATGCAAACTAAGAAATATGTTCTTTTGCACAACAACCTTCTTGTTGTGCAAAAGAAGAACCATTTATATTTTATACCTGACAGAAATTTCTACCTAACTGAATAACTTAGCTCAATAAGAGAGCGAAGCATTGTATCATCAATGTTATTTGTGTCAACCCCTCCACTGAATTGGTAGAAAGAACTAGGTTCAAAAAGAGTTAATTAAGATACATTTAGAACTGAGAACAACATGTTCAGACAGCACAAGACTTACACCAGACAATGTGACATTGTAAATGCCAAAATTAGGCTGGGATAGTTACTTATGGCAGGTGGCTGAAAGTTATTAATATCCCAACAGTAAGTACTCAAATTGTAACTATGAACAGGAACTATAGGAAACTTCAAAACTATATTAGTGAATGCCTAGTTATCAATGATTTTAAACCAAATGGCTATAGATACCTTGAGCTTTGTAACTATTTCATTCACTTAAATTTTGGAAGATGTTCTCATATTTTACTCAAAGTTTGGTAATGTAGGTTAGCATACTAGCTTCTCATCCCACGTTTTTCTTTGATGCCTTGTATGACTAGCCATCCTATGAGATGGAGGTTATTAGATGAACTTAAAACCTTATATTTTGAAATCCCTCATATAGAATAGGACAGTACTGTACACTGGTGTACACATTTGTGAAAAAAAAAAAAAAAATACTTTCACTTAAATCTGATAAAAATAAATAAACAAATATACAGTGTTAATATTATAAAGCTAAGGGGTTCCAAAGCATCTCAAGGTACAAGGTCAAAAATTAAGCAAAAAAAATTTGGGCATTCAAGAATGCACAAAGGTATATATTTATATTAAGATTTTGTATCCAGCACTGTGCCACTACCGTACTCTACACTTACAAACTCTGAAGCTCCATATTCTGTATTACAGTACATGGCATTTAATCTAAAATCATTGACAATTGGACTTTCACTAACAATGAAGTCTTAGGTCTTTTTAAACATTTTACAACTGTCGTGCTGAGTTTGAAAATTTATTATTTGTAGTTAGCTGCTTTAACAATATCCTCAGCCTAATTTTGGCAATTACTATGTCGTCGTCTACTGGCTGAACATATAGCTCTCGGCTCTAAAAGTTTCTTGAAGTAGCATTACTTTCACAATACATTGGGATACCTAGGTTTAGTTTGATTGTTTGATATGACCGGGAGCCGGTCGGCCGAGCGGACAGCACACTGGACTTGTGATCCTGTGGTCCTGGGTTCGATCCCAGGTGCCGGCGAGAAACAATGGGCTTTCTTTCACCCTATGCCCCTGTTACCTAGCAGTAAAATAGGTACCTGGGTGTTAGTCAGCTGTCACGGGCTGCTTCCTGGGGGTGGAGGCCTGGTCGAGGACCGGGCCGCGGGGACACTAAAAAAGCCCCGAAATCATCTCAAGATAACCTGCGGCTTAATTTAGCTGCCTTGTCGGGTAACACACTAGAGCTGGTATCTATATAAAGGAGATGATAAAAATCTTGCTTTGTACATCAGTTATATATTATTTATAATTGATATGATATTCATAACACGTATAACTTACCAATCAACACGTATTCTTTTGGTAATAAATATAATTCAGGGATAAAGTGAACTTTAAATGCATATACACAGAAGTGGAGTACACCTCTTGGTGTATATACACCTTAGTACTGATGTCTTAAAAGATTTACTCGGAATCAGAAGCAAGAAGAGCTAATGGCAAATTTTCCTCAGGAATGGAATTTTTTTCCATAGCTGATTAACACCAGGTTCCATGCATACATTAAAACCATAAAGCCTTAAAATATATTTTATTACTTTATAATTTTTATCTACAAAACATGATCACATAGCACTTGTCAAGTGATGATTTTTTTTATTTTATTTTTTAATGACAAACTTGCATGAAATGAAATGACTGATGAAATAACTTGCATTGGTCCATAACAAAATGATGAGACATTGTATTCAGTGTCATTCTGCACTTGAATACTGATTGAAAACATGATAATCATATGAAAAAACCTTCAAATATAAACATATTAAGAAGGATAACAATATATTAAATTTATAATAAATGTATCAATAAATATATCAGGTTTAAGAATTTTCTTTAAGTTATTTTAGGTATAATTATATTTGCCATGCATTATTATAAAAAAAATGATGCTCCAGCAATATTATCTTTGAAAAAACTTTCAAGATTAAGGAAACTGTAATACATGGTAAATGGTTTAACAGTTACCAACAGAAAGCAAAAAGATAAACATAAATGTCCAATAAATTGAATGTCCAAGTATTTGAACTTCTTAAGTGCCTTCTTAAATAAATAAAAAAAATCCTCATAAAATTACTAAAGTTATAAATTCAATAACTTAACAGCAAAAGCAAACCCATCAGGCATAATGATCAAACCCCCATGATCCCATTCTAGCTTGGCAGGGCATCAGCTCGAGGCCCTGCAGTGGTCGGTTCCTGCTGTTCCCCTAGTTACACTACAGGGATGAATCACACTCACACAGTGCACCTTATACACTATACCACGAGTCTGCAGAAGCCTGCCCTTTCCCTCCAGCCTAAATTTATCAAACTTGCATCATTTTAGCAAAGAAATGTATTGCACTGCTGGTAAGGTCTCCAGTACAGATAAGATAACCTTGTCCTGTCCAAGGTGAGGACGGGATTCTAGGGTAGTAGTGGCAGCATCTACGGCTGTGGCAGGTCCCCCCACCCAGCACACATGATAGCATATATGGATTGAATTTGGCCAAATATGCTTCATCCACCTGAGGTTACATGTACCTCAAATTAAATAAGAATATACCCCAACTTTTAAAGTTATCACTCTAACTCAAGATCATCTCTCAGTCTTTTTCTACCCTGCCCAAGGTTCACGACAACAGCTTGGGAGTTGCTGTCCCGTTTCCCTCCAGGATCTGAGTAATTATTGGATACATGGTCTACCATAGTATCCATTATTCTTGCTGATAATTTTGTACCGGACCCACCATCCGGCGGAAACCCTCCCCCAGAATCTGGTTTTCCATGTTGTGGTGGAAAATCATCCAATGGTGGCATGTAATAGGCAGGGCTCTTTGACAGCATGCGTTGCCGCTTAGCAGAAGGCGTGTAGTCATGGTCTGTTAAGGCTTGCACCAGAGGTTTGTCCAAGTCAGAGGTCAGTTCATCATCAACACCCTCCAAAACCTCCAGGGTACTGGGTACAATAGCACCATTCCCAGCCTCCAAGAGACTACGTGAATGACCTGCAAGAAATAATGTAAAAATTATTAACAACAATTTTCATACATTATATTTATCCAAGTTCATTATTAAAACTTATTTAACCCATAATTTTTTTAAAAGTGCCAAGCAAAACATTGTCATTTAACTGCCAAAATGATTTATCAGGACATCATACTCATTAAATATGTTCAGTATTACCATTTGCAATTAAAGATGCATGCTCTTCATCAACATGTACAAACATTTTTGGGAGCCATTTTAAATTAAATAAACTGAATTAATATTGTATGTTCATCAATAGTATGATGCTATATGAAGTAACATTCCTGAAGTAATTGTTTTAATTATTTCAGTCATTATGCTACTTCTTGTCCCTATAAAATGAACCATTTTTTAAAGATACATGTGTCAGTGTCCACTTACGTTACATTTCTAGGCAGTATGACACCTGCCCCAGGCATTCTTTATTTTTCTATTATTAGATACCTAAAATGCTCATTACATCTGAGTTGGGAAATATTTTTATCATTCATTTGTACATATACAGTAGTAGTACTTATTATTAATATACCTTATATTCTGATACTGTATTACCAAGAAGAAAATATCTGCATCATATATCTACTGTAAAAATATAAAATTATTAACAATAATGTACATGCTTCTTACCTGCTGAAGGCATTTTCGATGCGGGCAATGATAGCTCGCTGTCTGCAGTGGCTCCATCCTGTCGTAGTGATGGCACAATGAACAGTGCTGCTGACAGTATCAACATCATTAGAGCAGTAGATGCGTGTGCTTGGGAGCGTCCATTGCTTCCACCAGTAACAACATTCTGGAACCGCCGCATTTGTACCAGAAGCGACTCATTTTGTGCTTCCAAGGTACGGATTCTTTTCTGAAGTTGCTGGTTCTCTTCTGTGCAAGCTTTTACCCTAAAAAGTATATTGAAACCACTCTAATTACCCATTTAATCACATAGCATTTACTACATTACCATGTCATAAATCAAGTTCCAGTTTAGGTTATTTTTATAACCACATTTAAGATTTGTATTGCAAACATGAGTTGTGTGATACTGTTCATGAATGGGAGGCAAGTTTTTAATTTTAAAAATTATGGAGAAAATTTTCTTTATAGTATTATGAACAAATATTCATGCAAAAGGCTAGAGTACTATACATAAACATAAAAAGATTAATTCAGAGAAATTCCAGTAATGAAGATATATATAATGAGAAGTTGAAATGTACTCTATTGCAATTTTGCTGTATACTGTACATATATTTATACAGTACAAGTATTCCATTAAATTTATTTTTAGAAAGTTTCCATTTACATTCGTACCTATCTTCTAATCCGTCAATGTATTCTTTTTTGCGTTTACGGGAGTCTTGTGCAGAGATCTTGTTGCGGATCTTTCGCCTAATACGTTTCAGTTCTCTTTCTTCTTGTTTTGTCAAAGGGTAGTGAGATGGTAGCAGGATTCCTTCTTTCTTCAACAACCTCTTCTCCTCATCTGAAAAAAAAAAAGGTCTTTATTATCAGAGAAAATTCTGCTTCATATTTATTTACACAGGGCATGTATACCTACCTGGCTTTGGAATAAAAAAAATTAAGTATGCTTATTCAAACTGATTATTAAACAAATTATTGCATGTAGAACAAACAATATTTAATTTTAGAAAGGGCTCGGGTTAAAGGACTACACTAAGTAACTTTCCATGGGGAAAAGTACTTAGTGTACTGTACAATATTTCCATTATTTGGTGCTGCTCTAAAGACTCGTGCCATAAATAGCAAAATATGACCAAGAACATTTTTTTTTCATCATTCTTCAGGATTTATATCTACAATATTGCATCTTTCATATTACAATCACCTTTCCTTTCCTGATTTTGGGTGTGACCTGTGGCCCAAGCAAGGAAAGATGCTGTTTCAAGGAGGGAATCTTGCTAACTCAAAAGTTTAAACTTTTGGGTTAGAATTGTAAACTACTGTAGCTGAAGGATACAAGATTGACAACATTTCAAACAAGGCACATCTCTGACATTTAAAACATTGAGCAAAATAGAAAACTTAAAATTCAAACTTTAAGGAGTCAAGTATTTTACAAATGAGAAGCCACAACTAAACATCAGCCAAAGATATCCCTCACACTAAGAGAAAGCAAGAAATTTTACCAAGTAACGAGCCTTTAAAACACACCTGAAACCAACCAACTATGGAATTTCCCAAGCTACAAACTTCCGTCTCCCATCAAGGTCAACATACAATATGGCTGTCAGGTAGACAAGATACAGGAACCGTACATCAACTTCGTGTGAAATAATTAAATTTAAAGCATATACACAGTATTTACATTAAACAAATATTCATTTTCTCCAGTATTGATTTGTTAAATTGATATAGTAACGTTCTTGCCATGCAAGTCTAACTGTGGCAGAATTTCAGAGGTCGCTCAGACAACTTTCTCAACAGGTTATATCCCACCGCCAGACCCTCTACGGAAGTCAGTCAATTCTAGTTTCACAATCAATTTAGCTTACCAGCATGTTGCACATTCCATGTGGACCATTATTCATATATACTGACATAATGGACAATTAGAAAGTAAAATTTGGTACTATTGAAATTGGGCAGACTGAAAAAAGTTTTGTCTATGTTGCTAATAAAACCTAACCTAACCATCCTAGGTCTAATACATACTATCGGAGGCCTAATATAGTACTGTACACGTATGTGCTATATTAAGTTTAGGAATATTTAAGTTTATTATTATTATTTTGATTATTTCCAAACTCTCACAAGGTAAACTGTACCAAATTCTATCCAATTGTCCTTTACATCAATACATGTATGATGGTCCACACAATGGGGCCGGCCGACCGAGCGGACAGCACGCTGGACTTGTGATCCTGTGGTCCCGGGTTCGATCCCAGGCGCCGGCGAGAAACAGTGGGCAGAGTTTCTTTCATCCTATGCCCCTGTTACCTAGCAGTAAATAGGTACCTGGGAGTTAAGTCAGCTGTCACAGGCTGCTTCCTGGTGGGTTGGGGGTGTGTTGTGTTGTGTTGTGTTGTGATGTGTTGTGAAAAAAATAGTAGTAGTAGTAGTTAGAAACAGTTGATTGACAGTTGAGAGGCGGGCCGAAAGAGCAGAGCTCAACCCCCGCAAGCACAACTAGGTGAACACACAGTTACAAGAAGAATTATCTAAACCAAGAGGATGGGTTAATTAATACATACGCATACTGTACATGGTTGTATTTAGGCCTGAAACCCGGCCCTGGAATTACTTGGGCATTTGTTATTCGGGCACGGTGTTCCCCTATGGAATAATCCATCAATTATTTTACATGTATGTTTCCAATTACTATCGTGTACTCAGGGTACTGCGAATGGTGGCCAAGCGTTCGGTGAAGATGGAAGACTTCAGAACGGGGTCATTCTCGCGGGCGTTGTAGCTAAACTCTACACCAGTGTGAATTTTATTATAGCGTCAATATCTTTTACACTGACAGCAAACTTGGCGAGCAAAGCGTGTAATGGAACAAAAAGTTCCTTCAAAATAGAAGTGAGGAAGTATGTGAGAGACGTAACAAAGTCGGTGTTGGGGGGGGGGGTGGAAACTCTTCAAGCAGCACCGGAAATTCCCGGCCCCAGCCAGACGGTACTGACCGAGCCTGCGCAACAATGAAGCAGCAATGGCCAGTCTAACTATCGGCTCCGTATCGTTAATCAACGGTGTGGCTCGTGCACAATAAACCGAGACCAGTGGGTAGCAAATGCAGACGAGCAGGCATTTCCTACCTAGCAGTCGTCTGATAATTTCATGCCTGTTACAAGCAGCGCATTACTTATTTTTTTTCAACCTTCCCAAATTATAATTATATATAATCCCTTGCATATTTCTCTTTACCTCGAATAACTTTCTGTGAATACTAAATTTCCCAAAAACGAGGGAAAATGTGAGGCTGGTGGGGGTGGCGGGAGCGCAGTGTGGCAATGGGGTGATAGTGATGCTCAACGTGAAAGTTAGGCATCAGACCGGGGCTGCAACACTACGCTCTTCTGTGTTGCCAACTTGTTGCACATCGGCCACAACTTTTATTAAATTCACAATTTGCAAACTTCAGATGCCCAAAATGGTGTATATATATATACACACAGAGTAATAGGTATAAAACCACTTTTGACCAGGCGAAATTTCATCGCCGACGGACGATAAATCAATAACAGACACGCGATATACATGGACAAATGACTTATTATAATTGCAGAGAATATATTTATTGTACCATGTTTGTTGTACCATGGTGTTGACGGTTGCCTCGTCAACAACATAGCGGGACAGGGGGGGAGGACTTGAGTTTTGTAAGAGCTAGGAGGAAAGATGTCAGATTTATCAGGGCAGGATGGGAGGGGGGTAGGGGGGCCATCGAGAAAGCACCAAGCCATTACAACTATACAGCACTTGGAAAGGACGAGGAAAAATATTTGTGGTGGGGCGAGAGGGGGGAGGGGGGGTAGAAGGAATGGTGTCCAACCACTTGGACGGAAATTGAACGCCGACCTGCAAGGAGAGACACCGTCGCTCTACCGTCCAGCACCACTGGTATCAGTGGCAGGACAGCCCAGTTCATGGGAAGAGTAGTAGAAGAGATGTCATCACAGCTCACCGACAATTAGTCCCGGCTTTTATTCAATTTGATTATGGTAATTTGTATTGTCGAGATAGTTTATATACAAAAATGTGACTCGACTCATAGTCACATACGAAAGCGAACACTTTCTCAAGGATCTGAACGGTGATAAGGTGGTGGGTTGAACCGAGGCTACTGGTATGTGTGCATTCACCTAGTTGTGCTTGCGGGGGTTGAGCTCTGCTCTTTCGGCCCGCCTCTCAACTGTCAATCAATGTTTGTGTGTGTGTGTGTGTGTGTGTGTGTGTGTGTGTGTGTGTGTGTGTGTGTGTGTGTGTGTGTGTGTGTGTGTGTGTGTGTGTGTGTGTGTGTGTGTGTGACTGTTCTCTAGTTACTAAAGTCTCACTACCTCCCTCCTCACCAGCCTCAAACATAACTAAGTCATCAGAGTTTGGACCTCTCGCCAGCTATATGGAGCAGCCACACCCCAAAGGAGGGTGTGGCTCTTGGGCTCGTCAAATTCCCTTAATACCCCCCCCCCCCACAGGCCACGCCTTTCACTGCCACGCCCATAATGCACCCAACTTATTTTTATATTACCACATGGACAAACACCAATTACAAGCACATACGAGCGTCTACACCTCCACCCCTTAGATGGGAACCTTATTTTCCCTATCATCTCAGGAGTGAACAGGTGGAGGGGGGGGGAGAGCAAGGGTGGGGGGCGGGGAAGGAGCGAGACCGGGTGAAAGAGGGAGAGTGGGGGGGGGGAGTGAAAAGAGGGAGGGAGAGGGTGATAAAGGAGAAAGCGAGGCAAATGGGTTGAAAGAAGAGAGAGGGGTGAAGGAAAATTGAATTAAGGTACTGTTTCCCAGAGATTTTGCTGTCCCTTGGGATGGAAGAGCGAAGGGAGGGGGGCGGATAGTGAAGAGAAGGGGGAAGGGTGAACGAGGAGTGAGGGGGAGGGACTGAAGGGGAGGGAGTGAGAGGGAGGGAAGGATGAGAGAGAGGGAGAGTGGGTGAACGAGAGGCAGGCAGGTAGGTAGGTAGGTTAACTGAAGCCAAAGTTCCGGTTTCCGAGAGACTGCGAGCATTAATCCGTTGTCTCAAATAATACTTCACATAGTGACGTCAAAACCCTTAACGGGCTAATAAACGGGTACTATAAATTACAGACATCAAACAGGTATCTATAATGTCTCATGTCTGACATGCTCAGACATCAAACTTTTCTATACGTTGGTTGCGTTGGGGAGGCATGTAGATAAGCGAGTTGGGTTCATGCGGTTTAGTACCCCGTATTTTGAACAAATCCACGAGGGCCGTGACGAGGATTCGAACCTACGTCCGAGAGCATCCCAGACGCTGCCTTAATCGACTGAGCTACGACATGGTATATTTGTTCATTTGATGCATCACACTATTGTGATTTATTTGTGTACCCCGTATTTTGTCCCTCTGTAGCAACTCGGGGGAACGGGCTTGAGGAACAGTAGTGTTAATTACGCAACTCTCTTAACAGGAGCCTCGACTACACGTACGGCCAGCCAGCAACGCCTCACAAGCCCCGTGTGACCCTATGGAGCTTTCCATGATAACGTCTTAACGCAATTCTTCCTGCGGCTGTCGGAGCGAGCAGGTTTTGGGAAGAGGGGTGCAGCGTGCAATGGGGGGGGGGCATGTTGCAGGGAGGGGGGGGGCATGTTGCAGGGAGGGGGGGGGCATGTTGCAGGAGGGGGGGGGGGCATGTTGGGCAGAGGGGGGCATGTTGCACGGAGGGGGGGGATGTTGCAGGGAGGGGGGGGGGGTCATGTTGTGGGTTAGTTAGATCGAGGGGGGGGGGGGGCACATATTACAAGACTTCACCCTAT